ATTAGGAGGAGTACAAAAAGACATCTTTTGACAAAGATAAAACAATAGGACCCATTTTCCCCATTTTTGGAAGTATTGGTAGATAATTTGGATCCCAAATTAATTGGGATCAATTGGGAACCACTCCACATGATTAGAGTACCTACAAAACAAGAAAATTAAGTGAGGAGACTTACCTTGGCCGCACCAGCTGGAGGAGGGCTGCACAAGACTTGATTGGAATCAACCTTGAGACCCACCTTGTCAATTTCCGCACAAAATGGTGTGCTGTTTGTCTCCACTCATTATGGGAGTTATACTCGACCAAACAACGTGTACAAGGTGTCTTTGGATAGCTTTTGAAGTCTATTTTCATATTTGAGTGGCCACAGTTCGAGAGGAGAAGTCAATCATCCAAAAATCGATCTGGAACGAGAAGAGGTCTGTGAACTCGAGCTGTGAGAGTGCTGAGACTGTTTGGCCGATATCTCGAGTTTTACCAATCCAATTAAGGCGTGTGAGATACCAAAAGAAAGCTCTCAAGACGAGGAATCCGTGAAGGTCTGGTTTGCATCAATCGGAGTAGAGGAAGGCTTCCAAATCGTCCGAGCAGAACGAGACCTCGCAGGGACGGATTTACTCTTCTAAGTGAGTTGTTAATCCCAAAACCTTTCCATTCATTTTCCAAATGATATGAACGATTGGTGGGACTATTATACACTACTCCAAGTGTATAAAACATCCCTATTAAGTTATTTTATTGATGTAAAGGTTAGATACTAACCTAGGTGCAAACATTGGAAAACTAGGAATCGAGTTAGCCGGAAAACACCCGTTCTAGGGGCTGTTTTAGTATCAACGACTCGGGGTTGAAATAGCAACTTGAGGAGGCTGTTTAGCACCCATTTTCAAGCAAGGAACTAGTTCCCAATCTTCCTTGGCCGAGGCTTTAGCCATTGGATCGAGAAGGAAGGTTTTAAAGCTCATTTGAGGTGAGGATCGACATCTAGTTGCTTACAACTTGTAGGTTAAGCATGAGATTACCTAAATGCTTAAATAATGTTTTCCATGGATTATGATGATAACCTATTGATGGAATATTGATCTATTTTCCAAAGAATGAAATAAGAAATGATTTGGTAAAGTATTGATGAAAATGGAGTTAAATGAACTATTGTGTGAAATAGGCATTTTACTCATGTGTGAATTGTGTAGATACATAAATGATTATTTATGTATTACATTGAATGATTAAGTTGCTGCTACATATCTCTAAATATGTAGGGTTTTACAAATGGAATATATGATTGATAAGAATAATCTTAATAGTATTGAAATACTAGTTAATGATTGTTGAAATTGTTGAAGAATTGAATCTAAGGATTTGATTGTAATTGATGAACTTGATTGTGATGCAAGTGACTAAATTGATGTAATGTGATGCTAAGACCATGGTTGGGCAGTCCGTAGGGATGTCCCAAGATAGATTATTGATATTACAATTCTAGGCCTAGTGAGTGCTTAGGAATTGGGGTCTATGCCAATGTAAGGAGATGTACTTGAGCCCGTGCTCATAGAATTGCATTGGGTAGACATGATGAGGTGATTGTGTGCATGGGGATGTAGTCGAGTTGGACTCGAGAATGCACGGTGGAGTAGTTAGCTTATGTTAATAAAGGTGCATGGTGATGTAGTCGAGTTGGACTCGAGAATGCAAACATATGTGTTAGGGTTGGACCCTATGTATTGTTGTGACTAGGGGTCACGGGATTTTGGGGTATGTTTGATAAACAAACCTTGGGCCTACGGGCCGACTACTTGACTTTATATATAAAGTAAGTATATTTTAAAACGGGGTAACTTGGGGTTACGGCCTAGATTATATTATCACCCTATTTGAGGGTCTTGTGTTTGAAATACTTGTTGTATATCTATTAGATGCCATCCACACCAGCACTTTATAGCCCTATAGAGTGCTGACCCCTTCGGGGGCGTCCCACCACCATTTTTCAGGTTGAGGCTAGAGCTTGCTTCCTGTGCTCGTTGCTCGAGAGATTCATCTAGGAGGGAAGACTTGGTTCGTGCTTCCTCCATTCTGTTTTTAAACATTAATAAACATGCTCATGGATATTTTACTATAGAGCCTGCGTGCTCATGAATAGCCATGTGTGGCCCTTTTGTTTTAAACAATGTTTTCCGCTGCGTTATGAATTACTTATTATGTTTGTTTATGGATGTATATGTGTGAATGATATTCAAGACGCCTTGTATAATATGAATGTGTTGGACTGCGGTTGACTATTCGTATTGTACGGCGGGTTGTTGACGTGCCCGGATAGGTCCGGGGCGTGACAATTAAGTTGGTATCAGAGACTTAGTCCATAAACTTCATAATGAAGTCTCAAAATTCTCTTTTTGAAAAAGATTTTGAAAACCATGAGCATAGGAGTTTTGTACTTGGAGAGCTTTTGGTACTTGGGTTGCAAGGTCTCTAATTGTTAAGATGGTACCCTTAGCAATTGGTATGGCGGTGACTCGAGCCAAAATGTGTCTTAAGTACCTATCCGTCAATTGACATTTGATACGAGTCTAATGACTCTTTCCAAATTTCTTTCAGAAATGGACGGTGGTGGCAGGATTACTAGGAGAAACCCGACGGGCCGTGTACCAGTGGAGACTGGACAGGGCAGTCGAAGGACCTCTAGGGCGTCTAGGGGAGCTGGCCGTGGAGGCCGATCACAGACCGTGAGTGACGGTCATGTTGACACAGAAAGTGAAACCTACTGGTCCTATGAGGACTCAACTTACCAACCGGAGACCGAGCCGGTTGAGACCCCTTACGAAGGGGATGACGATGATATAAGTGATGAAGAAGGGGAGAATGACTCCCTAGCCAGAATCGAGGCGCTGCTCCAACAATATCAGCGGGAGCGCGAAGAAAGGAGGGAACGCCGAAGGCGCCGGGGAGGGCGAACTTTGGGTGGGGCTTCAAGAGGAAGAAGCCAAGGCGACTCTAGGGCCCACATTGAACCACATGGGGGCCGGGGTGATGGAGGTCCGATCATAAGGATCTCAAAATTTCTCAAAGAGGCGAGAGACTTGGGGTGCAAACCCTTCAACGGAGCAGGTGACATCTCGGTTGCCGCGGAATGGATCAAGAGGCTGAACGAAGCAGCCCTTGATATGCAACTCACCCCCGAGTTTAAGCTAAGGGTGGCGGTGAGGTTGCTTGAAGGGATGGCATCCACATGGTGGGACGGAGCCAAGGGAAAGTATGGCAACACGGTGACTTGGGAGAATTTCCGACAGGAGTTCTTTGCCCAATATTATTCTGATTTTGAGGTGAACGCCAAGAGGAGAGAGTATACCCTCCTGACCCAAGGGGGCAAAATGACGGTGAGGCAACTTGAACACAAATTCAGGGAGCTCGCGGAGTTCATACCGGAGTATGTGTGTGACGAGAACCGGATGGTAAATCACTTCTGGGATGCCTTAGACCTGGAGGTGCGTGAGAGGGCAACACAGTTGCCTAACATGACTTTTAGCCAAGTGGTCGAGCAAGGGTTAAAAGGAGAGAAAGAATGGGAGGAAAGAAAGTTGAAGAACGCCGAAGAGGCAAAGAAGAGGAAGTGGGAGAACCATGGGCATCAAGGTCCTAGCAAAAAGGGGAACCATGGGGGAGGGGGATCTTTTCGGACACCCCCACTGCCACCTAGGGGAAGTCATGGCCCGGGCGGGCAATCACAAGCCTCGGGGGTGACTCGTTGTAAGAATTGCAAGAGGAACCACCCGGGGAAATGTCGTGACCCTCCTAGATGCTACCAATGCGGGAGCACCGGTCACATGAAGATGAGCTGCCCACAACTGGGCGGGACGAGGGCATCAGGGCCAAGTAGTGGTAATACCGGGACACGGAATCAAGCCGGGACTTCACAAGCATCCAGGGGGCAAGGGGGAGCAAGCGCAAGCAACGCGCCGTCCGTGAATCAAGGAAGGACTCAAGCTAGGGTCTACGCGATGACGGAGGCGGATGCTCAAGCTAACCCGGATTCCGTTGCAGGTATTGCCTCTCGTATACTAGTGTTTTATCCTTAATTAGTCCATAAATTGAAGTTATAAATCCTAGAATCCAGGTGGGAGCAGACGTAAGATTGAAATGGGAAAGGAGAGCAAAACCATGCTACTACCCGATCGGGTAGGGCAATAAACCCTACCGGGTGGGACGAGTTTTTGCCCTCGTAAACCTTCTGGATCGCATACCCGATCGGGTTTGGTAATGAACCCGACCGGGTAGGACAAGTTTTTGCACTCATAAGTCCACTGGAACACATACCCGACCGGGTATGGTGGTATACCCGACCGGGTTTGTCAAAAATTTCTGCCCGACACCTTCTGGAACACATACCCGACCGGGTATGGTGGTATACCCGACCGGGTTTGTCAAAAATATCTTCCAGACACTTTCTGGAACACATACCCGACCGGGTATGGTGGTAAACCCGACCGGGTTTGTCAAAAAAAAAATTCTGCCCGAACCCACTGGAACTTATACCCGATCGGGTATAGTATGTTACCCGACCGGGTACACCTCGAAGTGTTCGTCAAATGAAAAAGTTGTCTTCATGAAAGTTGTAGATATTTTCATTGTCTAAATGATGGAATTTGAATCGAACGATTTGGTTAAGTATGTGAAGAGATATGATCAAAACGGTGAGACAGTGTCAATCTATATCTCAACTGCGAACGTCAACCATAATTGGGGGATTTTGCCCACTTTAAGGACATGATTTCGCATTATGTTCTTCGTAGGATTGGTCGGTATGTTAGAGAGGTATCTTACATGGTTTATAAATGTAGGAACACTAAAGATTAATGGGAGATGTGCGAGAATCCTCATCGATACCGGGGCGCAACGATCATTTGTGAGTGAGGCATTCGCCGGGGGATTCAACGCACCCCTGGTACCGATGGCTCAAGCCCTATTGGTATCCACACCCCTAGGGGAAGACATCGAGAGAGATAGCCACTATCCATCGTGTGAGGTGGAAGTGGAGGGCCAAAACTTGTCGTGTGATTTCGTGCCGCTGAGTATGATTGAGTTCGATGCAATCCTGGGGATGGATTGGCTTGAGAAGCATCATGCTAGGGTCGATTGTTACACGAAAGTACTTGAACTCGAAGGCAATGAAGGGGTAACCTTACGCTTCGAGGGGGATAGGGCAAAATCCAATAGTTGTATCATATCCGCCGTGAGGGCTAAGAATATGATGAGGAAGGGGTGTCACGCATATCTAGCGTATGTGGTGGACAAAACCAAAGAAGATACGAGCATTGATGATGTTAGGGTAGTATGCAAGTATCGGGACGTCTTTCCTAAAGACTTACCGGGACTTCCACCCGATAGGGAGATTGAGTTCGTGATCGAGGTCGAGCCCGGCACCAAACCAATCTCCATACCGCCATACCGTATGGCACCCGCTGAACTTAACGAGTTGAAAACCCAATTGCAAGAGCTTTTGGATAATGGTTTCATTAGACCAAGCCACTCCCCGTGGGGAGCACCAGTTCTTTTTGTGAAAAAGAAAGATGGGACACTTCGAATGTGTATTGACTATCGTCAACTGAACAAGGTCACAATCAAGAATAGGTATCCTTTGCCTAGAATTGATGACTTGTTTGACCAACTACGAGGGGCAACCGTGTTTTCAAAGATCGATTTGAGGTCGGGTTACCATCAATTGAAGATTAAGGAAGACGACATACCAAAGAGTGCTTTCCGCACAAGGTATGGACATTTTGAGTTCCTTGTTATGTCGTTTGGGTTAACAAACGCCCCAGCGGCATTCATGGACTTGATGAACCGAGTATTCCATAAATACTTGGATCGATTCGTGATTGTGTTCATAGACGACATTTTGATTTACTCAAAGAGTGAGGAAGAGCATGAAGAGCACTTGATACTCGTTCTTGAGACACTACGGGAGAAGCAACTTTATGCCAAATTTTCTAAATGTGAATTTTGGCTAAAGGAAATTGGCTTTCTCGGGCATGTGGTTTCGGGATCGGGAATTGCTGTTGATAATAAGAAGATAGAGGCCATTACCGAATGGGAGAGACCAAGGAATGTCAAGGAGATTCGTAGTTTCCTTGGATTGGCAGGCTATTACAGAAAGTTCGTGGAAAAGTTCTCTGTTTTGGCGTCGCCGTTGACGAAGCTCACTCGAAAGGGAGCTAAGTTTATATGGGATGACAAATGTGAGAAAGGATTCATCGAACTAAAGAAGAGATTGACCGAGGCACCGGTACTTGCATTACCCAAACAGGGTGTGGGGTACGATGTCTATAGTGACGCGAGCATCCAAGGGTTTGGGTGTGTGTTGATGCAGGAAGGGAGGGTAATTGCCTATGCTTCACGACAGTTGAAGAAGCATGAGGTAAATTATCCTACCCATGATCTGGAGCTGGGAGCAGTGGTGTTTGCACTGAAGATATGGAGACATTATCTCTACGGGGAGACATGTCACATATACACTGATCACAAGAGCTTGAAGTACGTGTTTACTCAGAAAGAGCTAAACATGAGACAGAGACGGTGGATGGAGCTGATAAAAGACTACCATCTAGTGATAGAGTACCACCCAGGCAAGGCAAATGTGGTGGCAGATGCTTTGAGCCGGAAGAGCTCGTCTGGGGCATTGCTAGCTAATTTGAGGGCATTAAGAGCCCAACTGGAGGTATCCAGCGATGGTGCCTTATTGGCACGATTTGAGGTGAGACCTACTTTACTTGATGAGATCAAGAAGGGTCAGGAAACCGACGAAGAAATTATGAAGATCCGGGAACGCATGCAAGTGGGACCGGTGGAGGACTTCAGAGAAAGAGATGACGGTCTCTTATTATTTCGTGACCGAGTGTGTGTACCGGCAGATGAGGAGCTCCGAAAGTCCATCTTAGAGGAGGCTCATTCATCGGCGTATGCCATGCACCCGGGGGGCACGAAAATGTACCGTGACTTGAAAGAAAGTTACTGGTGGTCTGGGATGAAGAGGGAAATAGCCGAATACATTAGTCGATGCCTTACTTGTCAACAAGTTAAGGCGGAACATCAGCATCCAGCAGGCTTATTGCAGCCACTTTCCATTCCTGAATGGAAGTGGGAACACGTGACTATGGATTTCGTGGTAGGTTTACCACGGACAATCAGGAACTATGATGCAGTTTGGGTCGTTGTGGATAGGCTCACAAAGAGTGCACACTTCTTGCCTATCAACACTACCTACCCACTTGAGAGGTTAGCCAAATTGTATACGGATGAGATCGTGAGGCTGCATGGGGTCCCAGTGACCATTGTATCCGATAGAGACCCACGATTCACATCACGTTTTTGGCCGAAATTTCAGGAGTCTATGGGAACGAGGTTGAAGTTCAGTACTGCTTTCCACCCACAGACGGATGGACAGTCTGAAAGAGTCATACAGATCTTGGAAGACATGTTGAGGGCTTGTGCATTGGAGTTCCAAGGAAGTTGGGACAACCACTTAGCACTTGTGGAGTTTGCCTATAACAACAGTTATCAGGCAAGCATCGGCATGCCTCCATACGAGGCATTGTATGGGAGAAGGTGTCGTACACCGTTATGCTGGGACGAGGTTGGCATGGCCAAACTCGAGGGTACTGAGTTGGTTGAGGTCACCAAATCAAAGGTGAAGTTGATTCGAGAGAGACTCAAGGCGGCTCAGGATAGACAAAAGAGTTATGCAGATAAGCGTCGAAGAACCTTAGAGTTTAAGGTTGATGACGAGGTATTCTTGAAAGTTTCTCCTTGGAAAGGGATCATTCGGTTCCAAACCCGAGGAAAACTTAACCCACGATATATAGGTCCATTCAGAATTATAGAGAGGATTGGGGCCGTTGCATATCGTCTACAGTTGACTCCTGAGTTAGAGAAGATACATAATGTGTTTCATGTATCCATGCTTAAGAAGTATGTGCACGATCCCTCTCACGTATTGGAGAAGCCACCTGTAGAGGTACGTGAGGATTTGAACTACGCTGTTCAACCTATCAAGGTCACCGATAGAAAGGTGAAGAAGCTGAGGAGCAAAGAAGTCCCAATGGTTAAAGTCCTGTGGAAGAGCGATCGGGTCGAGGAAGAGACATGGGAAACAGAGGCTTTGATGAGGAAGCAGTATGCTTTCTTATTCGAGTAGAGCTGTGAATTTCGGGGACGAAATTCCTGTTAAGGGGGGGTGAACTTGTGACACCGCACCCGAACGTCCTTGAAAATTCGATTTAAAAATTCCAAAGTGATGTATTGAATTTCCGATTTCAAAACAATGGAAGAAACGATTAATATTTTACGAAGTATATGATTGAATATTGTATTGTTCAAACCCGCATTCGTTTGTAATTTTCATAATGTAAATTATTGGGATGAGCCTACACATATTGGAGATCAATAATGTGATTTAGGAAGTTGACTTGTTCTAAATAAATTAGGAGGAGTACAAAAAGACATCTTTTGACAAAGATAAAACAATAGGACCCATTTTCCCCATTTTTGGAAGTATTGGTAGATAATTTGGATCCCAAATTAATTGGGATCAATTGGGAACCACTCCACATGATTAGAGTACCTACAAAACAAGAAAATTAAGTGAGGAGACTTACCTTGGCCGCACCAGCTGGAGGAGGGCTGCACAAGACTTGATTGGAATCAACCTTGAGACCCACCTTGTCAATTTCCGCACAAAATGGTGTGCTGTTTGTCTCCACTCATTATGGGAGTTATACTCGACCAAACAACGTGTACAAGGTGTCTTTGGATAGCTTTTGAAGTCTATTTTCATATTTGAGTGGCCACAGTTCGAGAGGAGAAGTCAATCATCCAAAAATCGATCTGGAACGAGAAGAGGTCTGTGAACTCGAGCTGTGAGAGTGCTGAGACTGTTTGGCCGATATCTCGAGTTTTACCAATCCAATTAAGGCGTGTGAGATACCAAAAGAAAGCTCTCAAGACGAGGAATCCGTGAAGGTCTGGTTTGCATCAATCGGAGTAGAGGAAGGCTTCCAAATCGTCCGAGCAGAACGAGACCTCGCAGGGACGGATTTACTCTTCTAAGTGAGTTGTTAATCCCAAAACCTTTCCATTCATTTTCCAAATGATATGAACGATTGGTGGGACTATTATACACTACTCCAAGTGTATAAAACATCCCTATTAAGTTATTTTATTGATGTAAAGGTTAGATACTAACCTAGGTGCAAACATTGGAAAACTAGGAATCGAGTTAGCCGGAAAACACCCGTTCTAGGGGCTGTTTTAGTATCAACGACTCGGGGTTGAAATAGCAACTTGAGGAGGCTGTTTAGCACCCATTTTCAAGCAAGGAACTAGTTCCCAATCTTCCTTGGCCGAGGCTTTAGCCATTGGATCGAGAAGGAAGGTTTTAAAGCTCATTTGAGGTGAGGATCGACATCTAGTTGCTTACAACTTGTAGGTTAAGCATGAGATTACCTAAATGCTTAAATAATGTTTTCCATGGATTATGATGATAACCTATTGATGGAATATTGATCTATTTTCCAAAGAATGAAATAAGAAATGATTTGGTAAAGTATTGATGAAAATGGAGTTAAATGAACTATTGTGTGAAATAGGCATTTTACTCATGTGTGAATTGTGTAGATACATAAATGATTATTTATGTATTACATTGAATGATTAAGTTGCTGCTACATATCTCTAAATATGTAGGGTTTTACAAATGGAATATATGATTGATAAGAATAATCTTAATAGTATTGAAATACTAGTTAATGATTGTTGAAATTGTTGAAGAATTGAATCTAAGGATTTGATTGTAATTGATGAACTTGATTGTGATGCAAGTGACTAAATTGATGTAATGTGATGCTAAGACCATGGTTGGGCAGTCCGTAGGGATGTCCCAAGATAGATTATTGATATTACAATTCTAGGCCTAGTGAGTGCTTAGGAATTGGGGTCTATGCCAATGTAAGGAGATGTACTTGAGCCCGTGCTCATAGAATTGCATTGGGTAGACATGATGAGGTGATTGTGTGCATGGGGATGTAGTCGAGTTGGACTCGAGAATGCACGGTGGAGTAGTTAGCTTATGTTAATAAAGGTGCATGGTGATGTAGTCGAGTTGGACTCGAGAATGCAAACATATGTGTTAGGGTTGGACCCTATGTATTGTTGTGACTAGGGGTCACGGGATTTTGGGGTATGTTTGATAAACAAACCTTGGGCCTACGGGCCGACTACTTGACTTTATATATAAAGTAAGTATATTTTAAAACGGGGTAACTTGGGGTTACGGCCTAGATTATATTATCACCCTATTTGAGGGTCTTGTGTTTGAAATACTTGTTGTATATCTATTAGATGCCATCCACACCAGCACTTTATAGCCCTATAGAGTGCTGACCCCTTCGGGGGCGTCCCACCACCATTTTTCAGGTTGAGGCTAGAGCTTGCTTCCTGTGCTCGTTGCTCGAGAGATTCATCTAGGAGGGAAGACTTGGTTCGTGCTTCCTCCATTCTGTTTTTAAACATTAATAAACATGCTCATGGATATTTTACTATAGAGCCTGCGTGCTCATGAATAGCCATGTGTGGCCCTTTTGTTTTAAACAATGTTTTCCGCTGCGTTATGAATTACTTATTATGTTTGTTTATGGATGTATATGTGTGAATGATATTCAAGACGCCTTGTATAATATGAATGTGTTGGACTGCGGTTGACTATTCGTATTGTACGGCGGGTTGTTGACGTGCCCGGATAGGTCCGGGGCGTGACAATTAAGTTGGTATCAGAGACTTAGTCCATAAACTTCATAATGAAGTCTCAAAATTCTCTTTTTGAAAAAGATTTTGAAAACCATGAGCATAGGAGTTTTGTACTTGGAGAGCTTTTGGTACTTGGGTTGCAAGGTCTCTAATTGTTAAGATGGTACCCTTAGCAATTGGTATGGCGGTGACTCGAGCCAAAATGTGTCTTAAGTACCTATCCGTCAATTGACATTTGATACGAGTCTAATGACTCTTTCCAAATTTCTTTCAGAAATGGACGGTGGTGGCAGGATTACTAGGAGAAACCCGACGGGCCGTGTACCAGTGGAGACTGGACAGGGCAGTCGAAGGACCTCTAGGGCGTCTAGGGGAGCTGGCCGTGGAGGCCGATCACAGACCGTGAGTGACGGTCATGTTGACACAGAAAGTGAAACCTACTGGTCCTATGAGGACTCAACTTACCAACCGGAGACCGAGCCGGTTGAGACCCCTTACGAAGGGGATGACGATGATATAAGTGATGAAGAAGGGGAGAATGACTCCCTAGCCAGAATCGAGGCGCTGCTCCAACAATATCAGCGGGAGCGCGAAGAAAGGAGGGAACGCCGAAGGCGCCGGGGAGGGCGAACTTTGGGTGGGGCTTCAAGAGGAAGAAGCCAAGGCGACTCTAGGGCCCACATTGAACCACATGGGGGCCGGGGTGATGGAGGTCCGATCATAAGGATCTCAAAATTTCTCAAAGAGGCGAGAGACTTGGGGTGCAAACCCTTCAACGGAGCAGGTGACATCTCGGTTGCCGCGGAATGGATCAAGAGGCTGAACGAAGCAGCCCTTGATATGCAACTCACCCCCGAGTTTAAGCTAAGGGTGGCGGTGAGGTTGCTTGAAGGGATGGCATCCACATGGTGGGACGGAGCCAAGGGAAAGTATGGCAACACGGTGACTTGGGAGAATTTCCGACAGGAGTTCTTTGCCCAATATTATTCTGATTTTGAGGTGAACGCCAAGAGGAGAGAGTATACCCTCCTGACCCAAGGGGGCAAAATGACGGTGAGGCAACTTGAACACAAATTCAGGGAGCTCGCGGAGTTCATACCGGAGTATGTGTGTGACGAGAACCGGATGGTAAATCACTTCTGGGATGCCTTAGACCTGGAGGTGCGTGAGAGGGCAACACAGTTGCCTAACATGACTTTTAGCCAAGTGGTCGAGCAAGGGTTAAAAGGAGAGAAAGAATGGGAGGAAAGAAAGTTGAAGAACGCCGAAGAGGCAAAGAAGAGGAAGTGGGAGAACCATGGGCATCAAGGTCCTAGCAAAAAGGGGAACCATGGGGGAGGGGGATCTTTTCGGACACCCCCACTGCCACCTAGGGGAAGTCATGGCCCGGGCGGGCAATCACAAGCCTCGGGGGTGACTCGTTGTAAGAATTGCAAGAGGAACCACCCGGGGAAATGTCGTGACCCTCCTAGATGCTACCAATGCGGGAGCACCGGTCACATGAAGATGAGCTGCCCACAACTGGGCGGGACGAGGGCATCAGGGCCAAGTAGTGGTAATACCGGGACACGGAATCAAGCCGGGACTTCACAAGCATCCAGGGGGCAAGGGGGAGCAAGCGCAAGCAACGCGCCGTCCGTGAATCAAGGAAGGACTCAAGCTAGGGTCTACGCGATGACGGAGGCGGATGCTCAAGCTAACCCGGATTCCGTTGCAGGTATTGCCTCTCGTATACTAGTGTTTTATCCTTAATTAGTCCATAAATTGAAGTTATAAATCCTAGAATCCAGGTGGGAGCAGACGTAAGATTGAAATGGGAAAGGAGAGCAAAACCATGCTACTACCCGATCGGGTAGGGCAATAAACCCTACCGGGTGGGACGAGTTTTTGCCCTCGTAAACCTTCTGGATCGCATACCCGATCGGGTTTGGTAATGAACCCGACCGGGTAGGACAAGTTTTTGCACTCATAAGTCCACTGGAACACATACCCGACCGGGTATGGTGGTATACCCGACCGGGTTTGTCAAAAATTTCTGCCCGACACCTTCTGGAACACATACCCGACCGGGTATGGTGGTATACCCGACCGGGTTTGTCAAAAATATCTTCCAGACACTTTCTGGAACACATACCCGACCGGGTATGGTGGTAAACCCGACCGGGTTTGTCAAAAAAAAAATTCTGCCCGAACCCACTGGAACTTATACCCGATCGGGTATAGTATGTTACCCGACCGGGTACACCTCGAAGTGTTCGTCAAATGAAAAAGTTGTCTTCATGAAAGTTGTAGATATTTTCATTGTCTAAATGATGGAATTTGAATCGAACGATTTGGTTAAGTATGTGAAGAGATATGATCAAAACGGTGAGACAGTGTCAATCTATATCTCAACTGCGAACGTCAACCATAATTGGGGGATTTTGCCCACTTTAAGGACATGATTTCGCATTATGTTCTTCGTAGGATTGGTCGGTATGTTAGAGAGGTATCTTACATGGTTTATAAATGTAGGAACACTAAAGATTAATGGGAGATGTGCGAGAATCCTCATCGATACCGGGGCGCAACGATCATTTGTGAGTGAGGCATTCGCCGGGGGATTCAACGCACCCCTGGTACCGATGGCTCAAGCCCTATTGGTATCCACACCCCTAGGGGAAGACATCGAGAGAGATAGCCACTATCCATCGTGTGAGGTGGAAGTGGAGGGCCAAAACTTGTCGTGTGATTTCGTGCCGCTGAGTATGATTGAGTTCGATGCAATCCTGGGGATGGATTGGCTTGAGAAGCATCATGCTAGGGTCGATTGTTACACGAAAGTACTTGAACTCGAAGGCAATGAAGGGGTAACCTTACGCTTCGAGGGGGATAGGGCAAAATCCAATAGTTGTATCATATCCGCCGTGAGGGCTAAGAATATGATGAGGAAGGGGTGTCACGCATATCTAGCGTATGTGGTGGACAAAACCAAAGAAGATACGAGCATTGATGATGTTAGGGTAGTATGCAAGTATCGGGACGTCTTTCCTAAAGACTTACCGGGACTTCCACCCGATAGGGAGATTGAGTTCGTGATCGAGGTCGAGCCCGGCACCAAACCAATCTCCATACCGCCATACCGTATGGCACCCGCTGAACTTAACGAGTTGAAAACCCAATTGCAAGAGCTTTTGGATAATGGTTTCATTAGACCAAGCCACTCCCCGTGGGGAGCACCAGTTCTTTTTGTGAAAAAGAAAGATGGGACACTTCGAATGTGTATTGACTATCGTCAACTGAACAAGGTCACAATCAAGAATAGGTATCCTTTGCCTAGAATTGATGACTTGTTTGACCAACTACGAGGGGCAACCGTGTTTTCAAAGATCGATTTGAGGTCGGGTTACCATCAATTGAAGATTAAGGAAGACGACATACCAAAGAGTGCTTTCCGCACAAGGTATGGACATTTTGAGTTCCTTGTTATGTCGTTTGGGTTAACAAACGCCCCAGCGGCATTCATGGACTTGATGAACCGAGTATTCCATAAATACTTGGATCGATTCGTGATTGTGTTCATAGACGACATTTTGATTTACTCAAAGAGTGAGGAAGAGCATGAAGAGCACTTGATACTCGTTCTTGAGACACTACGGGAGAAGCAACTTTATGCCAAATTTTCTAAATGTGAATTTTGGCTAAAGGAAATTGGCTTTCTCGGGCATGTGGTTTCGGGATCGGGAATTGCTGTTGATAATAAGAAGATAGAGGCCATTACCGAATGGGAGAGACCAAGGAATGTCAAGGAGATTCGTAGTTTCCTTGGATTGGCAGGCTATTACAGAAAGTTCGTGGAAAAGTTCTCTGTTTTGGCGTCGCCGTTGACGAAGCTCACTCGAAAGGGAGCTAAGTTTATATGGGATGACAAATGTGAGAAAGGATTCATCGAACTAAAGAAGAGATTGACCGAGGCACCGGTACTTGCATTACCCAAACAGGGTGTGGGGTACGATGTCTATAGTGACGCGAGCATCCAAGGGTTTGGGTGTGTGTTGATGCAGGAAGGGAGGGTAATTGCCTATGCTTCACGACAGTTGAAGAAGCATGAGGTAAATTATCCTACCCATGATCTGGAGCTGGGAGCAGTGGTGTTTGCACTGAAGATATGGAGACATTATCTCTACGGGGAGACATGTCACATATACACTGATCACAAGAGCTTGAAGTACGTGTTTACTCAGAAAGAGCTAAACATGAGACAGAGACGGTGGATGGAGCTGATAAAAGACTACCATCTAGTGATAGAGTACCACCCAGGCAAGGCAAATGTGGTGGCAGATGCTTTGAGCCGGAAGAGCTCGTCTGGGGCATTGCTAGCTAATTTGAGGGCATTAAGAGCCCAACTGGAGGTATCCAGCGATGGTGCCTTATTGGCACGATTTGAGGTGAGACCTACTTTACTTGATGAGATCAAGAAGGGTCAGGAAACCGACGAAGAAATTATGAAGATCCGGGAACGCATGCAAGTGGGACCGGTGGAGGACTTCAGAGAAAGAGATGACGGTCTCTTATTATTTCGTGACCGAGTGTGTGTACCGGCAGATGAGGAGCTCCGAAAGTCCATCTTAGAGGAGGCTCATTCATCGGCGTATGCCATGCACCCGGGGGGCACGAAAATGTACCGTGACTTGAAAGAAAGTTACTGGTGGTCTGGGATGAAGAGGGAAATAGCCGAATACATTAGTCGATGCCTTACTTGTCAACAAGTTAAGGCGGAACATCAGCATCCAGCAGGCTTATTGCAGCCACTTTCCATTCCTGAATGGAAGTGGGAACACGTGACTATGGATTTCGTGGTAGGTTTACCACGGACAATCAGGAACTATGATGCAGTTTGGGTCGTTGTGGATAGGCTCACAAAGAGTGCACACTTCTTGCCTATCAACACTACCTACCCACTTGAGAGGTTAGCCAAATTGTATACGGATGAGATCGTGAGGCTGCATGGGGTCCCAGTGACCATTGTATCCGATAGAGACCCACGATTCACATCACGTTTTTGGCCGAAATTTCAGGAGTCTATGGGAACGAGGTTGAAGTTCAGTACTGCTTTCCACCCACAGACGGATGGACAGTCTGAAAGAGTCATACAGATCTTGGAAGACATGTTGAGGGCTTGTGCATTGGAGTTCCAAGGAAGTTGGGACAACCACTTAGCACTTGTGGAGTTTGCCTATAACAACAGTTATCAGGCAAGCATCGGCATGCCTCCATACGAGGCATTGTATGGGAGAAGGTGTCGTACACCGTTATGCTGGGACGAGGTTGGCATGGCCAAACTCGAGGGTACTGAGTTGGTTGAGGTCACCAAATCAAAGGTGAAGTTGATTCGAGAGAGACTCAAGGCGGCTCAGGATAGACAAAAGAGTTATGCAGATAAGCGTCGAAGAACCTTAGAGTTTAAGGTTGATGACGAGGTATTCTTGAAAGTTTCTCCTTGGAAAGGGATCATTCGGTTCCAAACCCGAGGAAAACTTAACCCACGATATATAGGTCCATTCAGAATTATAGAGAGGATTGGGGCCGTTGCATATCGTCTACAGTTGACTCCTGAGTTAGAGAAGATACATAATGTGTTTCATGTATCCATGCTTAAGAAGTATGTGCACGATCCCTCTCACGTATTGGAGAAGCCACCTGTAGAGGTACGTGAGGATTTGAACTACGCTGTTCAACCTATCAAGGTCACCGATAGAAAGGTGAAGAAGCTGAGGAGCAAAGAAGTCCCAATGGTTAAAGTCCTGTGGAAGAGCGATCGGGTCGAGGAAGAGACATGGGAAACAGAGGCTTTGATGAGGAAGCAGTATGCTTTCTTATTCGAGTAGAGCTGTGAATTTCGGGGACGAAATTCCTGTTAAGGGGGGGTGAACTTGTGACACCGCACCCGAACGTCCTTGAAAATTCGATTTAAAAATTCCAAAGTGATGTATTGAATTTCCGATTTCAAAACAATGGAAGAAACGATTAATATTTTACGAAGTATATGATTGAATATTGTATTGTTCAAACCCGCATTCGTTTGTAATTTTCATAATGTAAATTATTGGGATGAGCCTACACATATTGGAGATCAATAATGTGATTTAGGAAGTTGACTTGTTCTAAATAAATTAGGAGGAGTACAAAAAGACATCTTTTGACAAAGATAAAACAATAGGACCCATTTTCCCCATTTTTGGAAGTATTGGTAGATAATTTGGATCCCAAATTAATTGGGATCAATTGGGAACCACTCCACATGATTAGAGTACCTACAAAACAAGAAAATTAAGTGAGGAGACTTACCTTGGCCGCACCAGCTGGAGGAGGGCTGCACAAGACTTGATTGGAATCAACCTTGAGACCCACCTTGTCAATTTCCGCACAAAATGGTGTGCTGTTTGTCTCCACTCATTATGGGAGTTATACTCGACCAAACAACGTGTACAAGGTGTCTTTGGATAGCTTTTGAAGTCTATTTTCATATTTGAGTGGCCACAGTTCGAGAGGAGAAGTCAATCATCCAAAAATCGATCTGGAACGAGAAGAGGTCTGTGAACTCGAGCTGTGAGAGTGCTGAGACTGTTTGGCCGATATCTCGAGTTTTACCAATCCAATTAAGGCGTGTGAGATACCAAAAGAAAGCTCTCAAGACGAGGAATCCGTGAAGGTCTGGTTTGCATCAATCGGAGTAGAGGAAGGCTTCCAAATCGTCCGAGCAGAACGAGACCTCGCAGGGACGGATTTACTCTTCTAAGTGAGTTGTTAATCCCAAAACCTTTCCATTCATTTTCCAAATGATATGAACGATTGGTGGGACTATTATACACTACTCCAAGTGTATAAAACATCCCTATTAAGTTATTTTATTGATGTAAAGGTTAGATACTAACCTAGGTGCAAACATTGGAAAACTAGGAATCGAGTTAGCCGGAAAACACCCGTTCTAGGGGCTGTTTTAGTATCAACGACTCGGGGTTGAAATAGCAACTTGAGGAGGCTGTTTAGCACCCATTTTCAAGCAAGGAACTAGTTCCCAATCTTCCTTGGCCGAGGCTTTAGCCATTGGATCGAGAAGGAAGGTTTTAAAGCTCATTTGAGGTGAGGATCGACATCTAGTTGCTTACAACTTGTAGGTTAAGCATGAGATTACCTAAATGCTTAAATAATGTTTTCCATGGATTATGATGATAACCTATTGATGGAATATTGATCTATTTTCCAAAGAATGAAATAAGAAATGATTTGGTAAAGTATTGATGAAAATGGAGTTAAATGAACTATTGTGTGAAATAGGCATTTTACTCATGTGTGAATTGTGTAGATACATAAATGATTATTTATGTATTACATTGAATGATTAAGTTGCTGCTACATATCTCTAAATATGTAGGGTTTTACAAATGGAATATATGATTGATAAGAATAATCTTAATAGTATTGAAATACTAGTTAATGATTGTTGAAATTGTTGAAGAATTGAATCTAAGGATTTGATTGTAATTGATGAACTTGATTGTGATGCAAGTGACTAAATTGATGTAATGTGATGCTAAGACCATGGTTGGGCAGTCCGTAGGGATGTCCCAAGATAGATTATTGATATTACAATTCTAGGCCTAGTGAGTGCTTAGGAATTGGGGTCTATGCCAATGTAAGGAGATGTACTTGAGCCCGTGCTCATAGAATTGCATTGGGTAGACATGATGAGGTGATTGTGTGCATGGGGATGTAGTCGAGTTGGACTCGAGAATGCACGGTGGAGTAGTTAGCTTATGTTAATAAAGGTGCATGGTGATGTAGTCGAGTTGGACTCGAGAATGCAAACATATGTGTTAGGGTTGGACCCTATGTATTGTTGTGACTAGGGGTCACGGGATTTTGGGGTATGTTTGATAAACAAACCTTGGGCCTACGGGCCGACTACTTGACTTTATATATAAAGTAAGTATATTTTAAAACGGGGTAACTTGGGGTTACGGCCTAGATTATATTATCACCCTATTTGAGGGTCTTGTGTTTGAAATACTTGTTGTATATCTATTAGATGCCATCCACACCAGCACTTTATAGCCCTATAGAGTGCTGACCCCTTCGGGGGCGTCCCACCACCATTTTTCAGGTTGAGGCTAGAGCTTGCTTCCTGTGCTCGTTGCTCGAGAGATTCATCTAGGAGGGAAGACTTGGTTCGTGCTTCCTCCATTCTGTTTTTAAACATTAATAAACATGCTCATGGATATTTTACTATAGAGCCTGCGTGCTCATGAATAGCCATGTGTGGCCCTTTTGTTTTAAACAATGTTTTCCGCTGCGTTATGAATTACTTATTATGTTTGTTTATGGATGTATATGTGTGAATGATATTCAAGACGCCTTGTATAATATGAATGTGTTGGACTGCGGTTGACTATTCGTATTGTACGGCGGGTTGTTGACGTGCCCGGATAGGTCCGGGGCGTGACAATATTAAAAAGAGATATTATAATGTAACACCTCACATAGTCACATACCAAATATCCCTTTTTCGGGCTTAATTAAATTAGGTAACCTCTTTATAAATGACATTCACTGTGTTAGTGAAGAATTTTGTTTCCTTTGAACATATGAATATCTTAAAACAAAAGTGTTATAACTAAAAAAGAACGGAGAAAATACATAAAAGAGAAACTTTTTCAGGAGCATACATTTAGCTATGTCATTATTATATACTTCTAATTAAGACAGTTAATTTTTTAAGATGTAATAAAAAAATACTAATCTCATACTACCTTCGTCCCACTATGTTTGGGACAAAGAGGCGTGACACAATTTTTTAAGAAAAAAGTGGCATTATGTGGTTGATATTAAATTGATAAAGTGTGAATAGATTAAGAATAAATTGTAACCACCCATATATTACCAAATATGGTATAAAACAAACTTAATGTAACGAACAAAAAAGGTAAAACAGGACAAAGTTAGGGTGACGGGGGGAGTAATTCAATTTTATGCAGAATATGAAAATATAGATAAATCATTATCGGTCTAGTGCCAATAAGAATGTTTTTACTTGGACAGTAATCTGTCCAGATTAGACCAGACTAAACTTGGATAGTTATAGAAATACAAAGATACCAGACCATACCAAATCAGACCAAACCAGATTAGATCAAACCAGACCAGACAATTTAAGTAAAAACATCCTAATACGACATTTGCATTGTGCGGCACACTCCATTAATTGACAATGACATCTAAGGTATATGATCTCCGTGATTTACTACGGAAATGAAAAGATTTAAGTATACTTTATATATATGGTTAGTATGTGGGATGTAATAAACGTAAGCCACATTAGTTTCCATATTAATTTTGTACTTAATAGCAATTATTTAATTAATCCATTGTACTCGATAGTAAACGATCAAAAGAAATTGTACTCAATAGCAATTTATTAATTGTACTCAATAGCAATTATTTTACAATTCAATTTCAATTAGAAGGTTGTGCTTTATTTATAAGTAAGTAGATATTTATAAGTAAGTAGATGGGACGAAAGGAGTAACATATATGCGCGCTTAACTCAACCAGGGCCAGGGCCATCAATAATATTTGATAATTCCTAATTAGTTTGACTTTAGATTTTTATTTCCTTTTGGGAGACTTGAATTTTATAAATAGAAATGAGACATTTCTTAAATAAATCAAACTATATCAAACCATTCTACATGTCTACATTTCAACATACAGCAAATTTAAATAATATACTACTCCGTATATAAATATATAGATAGATACTACCGAATCACATTATACGGAGGATATTTGTGTCACATAGACCAATTCATGTGGGGTTGTGAACACCGAACATAGACCAGTGTCCTCCCTCCATGAAGAATTGAAGACATTTCTTGTCAATGACGTTGAATTTATAAGGCTTATAAATCATTTTTTTGGTCAGAAATAAGAAAAAGTAAGATTGAAATTACTTTTCTGACTGTATTGGCTGAAGTTAATGTAGAAGATCATTTTAACTATTTTTTCATATAATTTTTCTTTATTTTATTAATAAAATATTTTTTTAATAAATCTGAAGAATCAGCAAATCCAGCCACTTCAACTAGAACTTCATAAGTTTCAACATGATATCAACCAATACAGCCGATTTGGGTATTACCAAACGGGCTTTAAGAACTTAAGAAGTGTCTATAAAAAATGTGGCACCCCTGTATTTTAAGATTTGAATTTTACATTATTCATTGCTGTGCTTGATTTAACAGCATTTATATATTAATCCATTGAGAAATGAGTTTTTTTATATAAATATTACTACTAATACATGAGTTTACATGAATATGACTAAAACTACGAAACACGCACGCTGGGAGTTTAGTAATGCAGGGAAATTACCTGGGTGCCCTAAAACGGTTATGGAGAGGACTAAATTTCAGGAAATCTGGCGTAATCATGAGCGGAGAAACAAGTAACGTAAGAATGTTGTAGTCATAACGTACGGAAGCCGGGATCAATTCATTCGAAGCCAGACTTTGAAAGCGCAGTTCGAGGGGCGACTTTTTGATGTTCCGAAGGTGAAGAAGAGGCAGATTACTTGAATTACTTGAGCATTGATATGGTGTTCTTTGGTTTACGGTTGAATTTTTTCTAGTAATTAACATTGAGAAATGATTTTGAGACATAAATGGCGGATTACGTTCATAATAAATAAAGTTCATGATAGTATACTAATGACGTGTGGTAATGAACCAACAAGATTTGTGGTTTTACGTAGAGTTGGAGTGGTAGTGATTGAGTAGTAACGAGACGTTTGTATGGGTTAGTAATTGGCACAGTTGTGTTCTATGTTCATGACTGTTAGATTGTGGTATACGGTAATGATATTCAGACCGTGAATTTGTAGTCTGGAGATGGGGTAATGAACCAAGAGGTTGGATTGATTTGGTATTCTCACCATGACTGTGTAGTAATGACAAGTTTATAAGTGTCAGTAATTACATTTGTGACAGGTAAGTAAATAATGATTTGTGATTAACAATCATGACATGTGAGTACCGCGCATGACTAGTACTACCTGAGAGGATTGGGCTTAGGATTGTGGGCTACGTTCATGATGTAAAGGAAGTAGGATTACAGTAAAGAAAAATGGAGTAATGATTATTGAGGATCGATTAAGGTGGATAAAGTGGAATGAATGTGTAGTAATGTCACCGTTATAGCTTCCGGTAAATACATTTGAGACCTGGACATAGTAATGTATTGTGGATTATGTGCGTGGCTTGTAGTAGGTGTAGAAGATAGTGATAGTTTGTTAATGATTTGGTTTCTAGTTTAAGTAATGAAGTTGGATAGTTCAAGTGACATAATTTACCTGGAAATATGGATGTTGTATTCATTTTTTTCTTTTTTTGAAAAGAGCTGCCAGTCTGGAAGCTTGTTACTCGTTCTTCAAAATAACATATTTCATATTTGTTATCGTTTGTCAAAAGTGTTACTAGTTTTTTGCAGCGAAATGGAACAAGTGTTATTGACAGTGTTGGCGGGGAATGGGTGGGATGAAAAGAAGGTATTTCAAACTAAATCCACGCATGGTATGGTTGTTAATTGTGCGACAACGTTTGAAGAACTTGTGGCTACGCTGAGGGATTTATTAAAAGTGGATAAAGAAGACCAGAAGTTTCGAATTGCATACCTTATTGATGAGGCATTTACACCTGCTGTTGTTGATAGTGATATGAGCCTGCGTTTTTATTTGCAAATAAAGAACAGTGTTAGGGATAAAATAGGGGCATTTCCGATGTGTGTAGAACTGGAAGGTAGCGAGATTGAAGTGCAGACTAGTGTGAATGAAGGAATGATTGTGGCTAGGAATGGTATTAGCAATGATGAAGTTTTTCCTGGTAGTGAGAGTCATGAAAGGATTAGCATGGAGATGCCACTGTGTTCGGATAGCATTTTGTATGGACATGATGCAGAAGGTGATTTGTTAGGCTCAAGACTACAAATGAATGCAATATACCCAAGTAAGGAAGATTTTAAAGAGACCCTACAATTGTACGCGCTTAGGAATAAATTCCAGTATGTTACAAAAACATCTCACCCAGGAGTTTTACATGTTGTGTGCCTTGGGAGGCCTGAATGCAAGTGGGCAGTTAGAGGGGTTAGGATCAAAGACACACAATGCTTCAAAGTAAGAAGGTACGATTAATCTAACCGAACCATGATGTTTCCCTATTAAAATAAATTACTGTAATGTGAAAATGATTTGATGAGTTTATATTAGTTGTAGAAAAATAGTTATATTGTGATGTAATGAAGTGTATTTATTATTTGTAAATTGAATAAACAGGTTTGACGACGTCCATACATGCTCTATTGATGATAGATTAAATGGGAGTCGCCAAGCAAGTGCAAACCTTATTGGTAAATTGGTGAAACATCAGTATATGGATGCCTCAAGAAAGCCATATCAGCCCAAATGTATAATGGCAGACTTGAAACGCAGTTTAGGAGTGAAGATGAATTACCAAAAAGCATGGAGGGGGAAGGAGTGTGCGCTGCGAGCATTAACCGGATCTGATTTTGAGTCTTATAGGAAGCTTCCCGGGTTGTGCTATATGCTACTAAAAGCTAATCCAGAATCACATATAGCACTGGAGACAGACAATGAGCAGAATTTCAAATATTTTTTCATGTCATTGGCAGAATGGAGTAGTGGGTGGCAGTGGTGTCGGCCGGTTATAATAGTTGATGGGTCGTTCATGAAAGCAACATTTAGGGGAACACTTTTGACTGCGTGTGGTCTTGACGGAAATAGACAGATATTTCCTATTGGTTTTGGAGTGTGCGATAGGGAAAATAACGATACATGGAAGTGGTTCTTCACACAGTTGAAAATAGCTATTGGAGACAGGCAAGACTTGTGTGTTGTTTCAGATAGGAATGAGGGTATAATTAACGCGGTTAAGCAAGTGTATCCATACGCAGATCATGGTTATTGTGTGCAGCATATTTTGGGAAATATAACGACAAAATTTCGTGGCAAGAAAAAACGAGTAACTAACCTCGTTAATGCAGCAGCGAGGGCCTCAACAAGTAAATTGTGTGAATACTTGTTGGGATTACTAGACGCTGAAGATCCTAGAATAAGAACTTATCTGGAAAAGATTGGGAAAAAAATGGGCTAGGTCTGCATTTAAGCGACGAAAGTACTCAATCGTGACCTCAAATAATGCTGAATCCATGAATGCTATGGATCGATTAGCACGAGAGTATCCCATCTCTACTCTTATAGAGTATTTGAGGGATAAAATGCAAGATTGGTTCTTTAAGAGGAGGACTTTGGCCAATGAAACAACCACAACATTAACACCGGCTGCCGAAAAAATGCTAGTGGAGCGTCTCTTTAGTAGTCGTGGAATGATAGTAAGTAAAATCTTATTAAACTATGTTTTATTAGTAAATAATGGTTATGTATGTATTACATATTGTGATCTGTAATAATTTAAAATGTGGGTGGTTAAATGATACTGCAGGTCAAACCAAGTACGGGTGTCAGCGCAGAAGTAATTGACTTGTCATGTAAGGCATTTGTGGTGAATCTAGAGGAAAGGAGATGCACTTGCAGAGAATTCCAGTTGGAAGATTTTGTGTGTGTTCATGCGGTTAATCTTATAGGACACCTAAATGGTCTATCATGTTATGACTATGTGTCAGCTTATTACAAGACAAACTCATGGCGTGGGGCATATTCTGGAATTGTTTATCCCATTGGTTCATATTCAGAAGATGAACTTCCAGAGGAGTATAGGACGTGCTTGATTAAACCTCCTATATGCAAAACAAGAACTGCCGGGAGGCCGAAGTCAAAGAGGATTCGTTCTGTCGGTGAATTTGGATCAAGACAGAAGTGCACAAGATGCAAGCAACAAGGGCATAACCAAAAGACTTGTAATAACCCGATACCGCTATAAATGATGCGAGATTATGTTGCTACATTTTTGTTTTGTTTTTTTTTTCGACAAAGTTGCAGTCATGTTTTAGTGGATTTCAGATTTCATTTATGCTATTGAACTATGATATTGTTTTATTATTGAACGTACGTTTAAACTGTGATGTCAAAGTTGTACTTGCACAGTGATAGTTACTGTTTCATAACATACAATTTGTTTAAGTATTACAGTGCGATGTCACTGTACTTATGCTAATGTTAGGTGATAACTTAGCATCCGTTAGCTCTTGGCTATATGGTTTTATCATTGCCTCGTTTTACTGACTTGGGTATGATGTTTATTTATACGTTTTGGTGCATCTTTTCCACAGAGATGGTAAGACTGAAAACCTCAATGAGGTTTTGATGAAATGTGATATGTTTTTTTTAGTACTGGACTTATGACAAGGATAACCGATGTATATAGTCCAGGAAATAGTAATTCACAAATGAGTTGAGTACAAAAATAAAGAGTTTGAAGCCCAACTGTTGTATTGATTTGCAACGAGTATTGTCATAAACATATAAATACTTGTTCATACTGGCTCAATGAAAGAGTATCACAAAAAATATCAAAGTTGAACGGTGCACAGTAGTGCAACAAAAGTAACAGCAAACAGTGCGGGATGATTGAAAAATAAGTTATACTAGGCAGATTGACATTATATAAAATGAAGTGTGATGTGCATCTTAGGGAGCTACACTTCGTCCTTATTTCGGTCCCCATATAGATAGAGGTCGTGAGCCCACTTTGCCCGATACTCTGGAATCTTGGAAGGACAAAGCTTCTTGACATCAATTCCCATCTGTAGAAGCTCCGCAAACTTTAGCATAAAGATACCACAATCTCCCCTGCAATAAAAGTAGTAATTAGAATCTTAATTTGGAAACAAGAATAAAATCTTAGAATGATTTAGTGATTACCCATTATCCTGTTGCGGTACATCTTTAATGACTTCCAATTTGTATGATTGAGCATCATTGAATGATGTTTTCTGGTGATGGGCCTTGAGTGCAGCTACAACCTTTGGAAGGTAATGAATCAGGCCACGCATGTACTCCACAGTCTTGGGTTTCTTAGTAGCACGGCGTATGCTTGAGTCGTAGATAGACAAACAGTGATTGTGAATATCCAAAACAACCAAACACCAGTGCGTTTGAGAGAGATTTAAAGGTATGTAAACATGATCACACTCCCAGAATGGTGGCATGTAGAGTTCCTCTGCACCTGCTATTTCTTCCACTAAATAACCATCAGAGGACGAATCTTTAGGATGAATAGTACCTGCCTTGTATTTATCATACAGCTTATTCAAATAATCAGGGATGTATGTGTCACAAGTGTAGAACGTTTCAGGGTATGGATACGTAGCTGCCTTCATACGGAGATAGAAGCATATTACTTGAACATGCTACAAGTAAATAATTTGAATAAAACTATGAGTTAGTAACTGTGATCGGTTATTAAAAGTAAAGATTCAAGGTAGGAAAGTGAATTGATTTTGGTGAAGGAATATAAATACACACACACATATGTAAAGTAGAAACCATACCGTGGCGTCTAGACACTGTTCAGGCTCATGTAGACGGTAGATCCATGACTTGCTGTCTATCACCACATCATAGAAAAAAACCAAATGAATTGATTTCTCTTCTTCTGGTAAATACTTCTTGGGTACAGATGTAGATCTATGCCCTCTTACTACTCCTTGCATGATAAACTTTGTAAACTTGAGCCGCGCAGATAGAGGTTTCAACTCAGCAAATGGGTCTAGGGAAAATGGGCAAAGGTTATGCGACGGGCGTTGCTTCTTGCACTTTTGGAGTGCATCTGAACCTGGGGTGTAACGAGCAGGTGAACAAAGTCTTCTTTTGGGACGCTCTTCAGGTACTGAAATGATAGGCTGAGATACATGTAATGTATTCAGGTAGGTTGTCAGTTTTAAAAACAAAACAAAAAGTAAACAAAGTAAATGATGTAATATTAATTTCAGATTTATGTATGTACCTGTTTAAAGACAATAGATTTGGGTGGTTGGAGTGGGACCTTGGGGGGCTTGTCATTTTGACAATCCTGTGTTTAAAAATAACCATGTGAAGCAATAACATAAATGTTAAAAAATGGAATATGGGAGTGTAGATACCTGATTGAGAAAGGAGGTGCTGGTATGTGGTTGGGAAACATCATTATTAATGTCCTTAGAAGCAGAGAGATTGGTATCCTACTTAGTGAGAAAGCAAAATAAAAATAAGAAGTGAAGAAGGGAGGCTGTTATCTGCTAATTAAAAAAAGTATGTGTTGAAGTTCTAAGAGGAAAAGTGTATACCTTCGGATCATACAAATCAAATGCAACGTTTAAAATTTGAGTCATGGAAACGTCTAATTCTTCGTCAGAAGCATTGCTTGGATAATTGGTGGCAAGAGGGACAGTTTCAACACCATGGGGGGCGGGATTGTCTTTTTCGTACATTAGATTGTCGGGAGCTGCGTTTTTATGAACACCATTTTCATGATGCCCAGAAGACCCGTCTTGTGCTTGCTGTGGAACTGAATTAGTACGCAATGGCGAAGTAAACTGTCCGGAAGAGTTATCGTGAAGCCTCTGTTTAAGCATGAGGATGACTTCATCTTGAACCTTCACCTTGGCCTGTAATTCAGATATGAGAGAACGCAATGAATTCAATTCGTCATTGAATACAGCAATCTTGGCTACAAACTCAGAGCGTGGCAAATGATCTGCCATATCAACACATCCCCCTTCACCCCTGCAGTTGTTTGTCCTTGTTGATTGTTTCTTAGCCCCAACAGATACATTTGACTTCTTCCTTCTTTGTTTCTTCTCAGAAGTAGAGCATGGGGTAAGTTTTGATGTAGGTTTGGGACTGACGGGAGGGTTTGAATCCACAAGAATACCAGATTGATGAACATTGTCATGATTCAGTTCTATGGTGGAGGGGGTAATAGGCTGAAACACAAACTGAAATGAATTACCAAAATAAAAAAAGTTAGTAAAATAGAAGGTAGTTGTAATACCAAATGATGCAGACCAATAGATAGCTCTTTACATTATATGCAATTCATATACGCATTACGAAGAGAAATACTAAGTTTGAAATGACAATAGTGTTCTTAAAGTTACAGACAGTAATAAAACATTTATTAAGTGGAAATGCAGTAGTTGATAATATTAATAATAAGATGTACTTACATTTGGGTTGCTGAAGATGGAGCAGTTCAAGGTGTTTGGGTTTTTTTTGGCCGACGTCCATCTTAAAACCCTTGGAAAGGCATCTGGATCAACTAACAGAGCCAAACCAACCTCTCTTAGAGCCGGAAAACTCTCAAAAGCCCATACTTGGAGAGCCACAACACAACCATACACATTATAATGTGCTTCATTTAACTTCAGACAGTTAGCACCATTTTTAAAGCAAGAAACCATATCACTCCAAATGACCCTACCCCACGGATAACTATTAAAGGCGTCTATATCATCAATTAGGTTTAGATATGAACTGTTTAGTGCAATTTTTGGGTCAGCAGAGAGGAAGGAATGAGATAGGACATATATTAGTGAGAGTCTAATTATATCTTCATCAGTCTCCATACCCTTGACCAAAGATTGGTATAGTAACTTAATATCACTACGTGTGACCCTAGAATTGGTTGGGAAATATTTGAGCCAGAACGAACCCCGATAGGAAGATTCTTGTTCGATAGTGGGGACAGTATCATGGTAATTCAACCCAAGGATAGTGGTGAAATCTAACACAGAGAAATGCACAACCCTATCCTGAATCTCAAAGTACAAATGAAAGGGATTGGCAACATTCTCAACCTCTACCAAATTCCCTAACAGATAATGTATGAGTAGGCCACTGCAACACATTTTCCTAGCATCTAGGAACGGACCAAAGGCTGTTTTCCTAAACAGTTGCACTTGATGAGGTTCTAACTTCTGCTTTACTAAAGAGACTGAGTCAAACAACCTAGAATATGTGTTTACTTTCCTGTTCTTTATGGGCCTATAGACTATGGACTTTTTCACCAGCCTCTTGTACATCTGTAGGGAGCATAATGTCAAAGTTAGTAACAAATATTGTCATAGTTACTAGAAGGGAGGGAAGTAAATGTACACTTACATGCTTAGGTACCATTTGAGTGGATGGGACTTTCACGGATGACCGCAAGAATGGTGTTGAAGATGGCGGAGGTGTAGTGAAATCATCATTGTCTTCCATGCTCTGATTCACATAAAAAAAGTAAGACCAACATTGAAAAACATTTTACTTTATTCTTCTTCTTCTTCTATTATCTTTTCATCCTAACTTTCTTTGATGTTGTATTATAGTTACTAGCTGTTTTGTCATAGGAACAACATCAATTCTAGATCTTTTTATTCCTCTTTTCAAGTAAGTTTGCTATCTCTTAGTTAAACTTGCCCCGAGTTCATTAGAGATCATGTTGAAGCAACATAGATAGGTTTTAATTGCCAAGGCTTGTATAACATAACAATCACATAAAAGTGAACTGGAATTTCAAAAGGGAATTAAAATAATGAGTGATATGCTAAAAAGTAAACAGATTAAAAGTAAGCAAAATAAAAAATCATATATCGAAATTGATTACCAGATGGGTTGGGGGCCTGAAGTCCTATGTTTCTTCCATGCTAAGCTTCACAATAATGTAAGAATGATAGCAATTATACAAAGACTGGCCAGTTTTCATATCTTTTTTTTGGAGACAGATAGCAAACATCAGAATGACAAACTAAGCAATCAACATGTGGGGACAACATAGCAATTCAAATTTCCAATCAACATTTATGAAAACAAACAAACAAATCAATGATATGGCATCCTTCTTTACAAGAATAACATCCGTAGTAATAATTCCCAAGATATCAATTTACATAGTTTTCTGAATTAGCAGCCCTTAGTGGCTAGGAAGTTATAGAAGTATTATTGACTTAAACGTCAATGTCAATAACGTTGAATGATGCGAACAGTGAACGAGAAGTAGATGAATTCCCATCAACATTTGTGATAACAAACAAAACAATCAATGAATGAAATGGAAGCTGCCGCCTCAGATTGTAGAGAACCCGTTGTCCTTTCAGCGCAAAAGGCCCTAGGGTTTACAAGTAAAACGATTTCAAAGACGATTGTAATCTTGATATTCATGGCGAGAGTTTCGGTTGGGCAAGAATTACGGCAAAGAAGGCGCGAGAGTTTAGGTGGAGTAATTATTAGCGAGAGAGTTTGAGAGCGTGTAGACCGTTATGACGGGGGCACTACCGGAATAATAAAAACGATTTCTAATTTTTTTAATTCGAAGATAATACCTAGTAATATTAAAGTAAAAGAGTTCTGAAATGGTAATATCCATGTAATTTTTTCTAGAGGAATTTATTATTTTGAAATATTATTAAATTGTTCTAAATTTAAATTCCCGAAATATGTTTTTTTTTTAATTTTTGCTACTTATAGCGGAACATCTATAGTTTTATATAATAAGGATTGAAATTTGATGGTCTGGTCTTAACTAGTAAATATCTGATCTCTGTGTATTTTATAATTATAAAAGTCTGATCTCATCTGGATTGGTCTGAGATTGAAAATAGTTCAAAAGGGAACATCCTAAAATTGAGTTATATAAAGCTGACGTGTCACTATTTTATTGGTTAACACAAATAATAATTATCTACACTATAAAACATTAATGAATTCATTAAATGCTACTGGTTTAAATTACACTTCAGTACTACGGACTCTTGCATGTACTAGATCTACTTTTTTTTTATCACTAGTAAACTCACCCGTGCGATGCACGGCATGAATTTTTTTAATATTTCCATTTGTTGGATGTTTGACAACCTGTATTAATTAACAAAAAGATGCGCGCATGTCATGCAAATACACATCATTAGAATATATGGGTGAAACTAATAATATAACAACTTAGATGGGAGTCCAAATTTTAAATTCAAAGTCTAAACCGATTACACAACAATGCCTAAACCACAATGCTGTCTATTCCAGCGATCTCCCCGTAAACCCAATTTTTTCCATCCTTAAACAAATCAAACTCAGGTCAAAATGATTTCCATTATTAGTGATATTGAACATGGGTTCTATGTACCTCGTTCATTTTAGTCAACTGATCAATAGTGACCAATTCAATCTGGCCACTACCAATATCTCTTTCGTTGGAGGTATCTGAAGAAATTGTAAAACTCAAACCCTCCCCACAACGTTCAGCCATTCTGTGCAACAGTGACTGATCAGGAAATTCACCTATGAAAGTGGTCATTGGGCTAATTTAATGAAAATGCAGTACTATCCATACCTAGCCTTAAAATCGCTGAACACTTCCTCAGACCCATTCAAGATTACCTTGGTGGTGTTGAACATATTTGATACGTGCACTTGGCCTAACTCAACTTTATCCGTTAGTAACCATATGCAAACAAATAAAATCTAAGAAGGGGTGAACTCTATTATATTTTCTCGTTTTTTAGGATGACAAAAGTGGTCACCTTGATATTTTCTTGCCCTGCTGCATTGAAGAAGCATAACTATAGGTTCCGATGTGGTTAATTTGTAAGTGACCAACATTTCTACCATAGGACCCCATAGCGTGCATGCAATAACATTTCCCCTTGCAAAACATACTGTTATTAGGAGTTTCTGAAAAAGTAATATGAAAAAACATGTTTATTAGCACATTTAACTAACTCAGTGTCTCCCAAAATTAGTTCGATCAGCTTTCTTGGACGATCGTTCTTTATAATAGTCTTAGGGTCTTTGTCGTGAACAACCTGTCCAATGATATCTGTGCAACATAATTATTGTCAGAAAGTCATTGGGTTCCATGGTATATTTTTGGTCGCGGTATACTATAATAAAACCCACCAATTGCGGCCCTATCATCAATACTTTCTTGCGCATGTAAGGCTGAAAATGACACCAATGAAAACATCTTCAAAGGAAAAGGAATTTTCATCTCAAAAGCCTCGCTCTTTTTGAAAAATCTCAGCCTATAAGCACTGGTGGTTGTTTTGAAAAACATAAAGTTCTCTTCAACCATAAAATTCCTAACCGCGAAAATTCGGCCCTCCGTAAATAAGGCGTGAAACTTTCCAACAAACTGGTCTGGTATATGAGCATGAATCTTTGAGCCCTGGTATAAAAGGTAGGTCATGTGTTAGGAACAACATAAAATAAACATGTTAATACAAATCTTATTTAACTAAACCTCTGCGTCATGAAAGATCACTTCCAAAGATGGTGGAAAGCCATCATGGGCAGGCTCACGATAGACCCTTGCGGCCCTTGCCTTGATTGCCCATGTCGTTTTGGTTTGGTCTATCTCACGGATCATTGACCACATTCTCACCATTGTCAAAAGAGGTTTAACTTAACTTGAATATATAAGCTTTAATGGCTTGGTGTGGGAAGAAGGTTTCTGGAAAGAGTCTTTTATTGGAGAGATTTAAGAGCTAGTTAGATTCGCTAGTTCATCCTCAACCAAACCAAAGTGTTAGAAATCTGGAAAAATCTAAGGTTACTATTCCAGCCACCACCCCAACCAATTAAATTTCACAGGCCACTATTCTTGCCACTACCCCAACCAATAGAACTTCACTGGGCACTATTCCCACCACCCACATTAGCCAATAGGAAAAATGAAGTTCCACCAACCCATGCAAACCAATGGATGACAGCCGAGGAAATCTATCTCAATTACGAATAGCCAGATTTTAAGTTTTAACCCTAAGCTTTTGAAATATATGAATTCAGGACCTCACCTTGATGTTGACATTTTTGGGAGGGAACTCTATTCATCAAAATCTTTTCCTTTTATATTAAGATAGATGTACTAGATCTACTTAATAAATGCTATGGGCATATATTTATCAATTTTTTTTAATTAAGTACATATGTAATAGGACTCTACTCTATTAAGACTTGCTACTTTTTAGATGTCAAATTTATGGCTTCATTTTCACTTATTTTAGTTTTTTTTAATAATTTTTTTTACTAATTTCACTTTTTAGTGCATTAGAAGACCAAACTATTTAGTAACATCAAGAATATTACTTTTTTGAAAGGAAATAATCTATATTAAAATTAATAAGTCAAGTGACATTACAATAGACTCAAGATCATAACAACCTCAACCATAAGCCCAATGATCAACTTTGACTCTGCCACCCACAAACGAGTCGCATAAGTTGCTAATCATGTAATGAACAAATTGAAGTTTGACATCACCATATACGTTTTCATGTTTCTATCGTGATTTAGAAAACTTACAACTTTACCAAAATTAAAATGAATAAATAAAAAGTAATTAAGAGTACCGATATAGAAAGAATTATAAAAACCAAACCGACGTAAGAAAGTAATAAAGGAACCGGCCATCGATTTGCAGTTATATGTCGCGTCTCCAATGTACCTACAGATGTGTCTCGACTGTCTGAAAACCAATGACATTTATTCCAGTCTTGTACTTAATAGTTTGATAAAAGAAACTCGTACTACTCATTTCTCTTGTGGCGCTGGTTCTGTAGGAGAATGGATCAATAGTGTAGTCATAGATGACTTGAGAAGCATAAAGGGAAGTGAGAAAAACCTATCTAAAACTTGATGAATAACATAAATAGCAATTGAACAATAGCATAACACTCTTGAAGATCTTGCATCATTTATTTTAGGAGGAAATTACCCATATAATGACTATCAAAATTGACAAAAGAAGAACCATAGCAATTCTAGGGAATAAAACACCACTCATACAAGTGCACATCCACTTTTTCACTTGGGTATAAGCTCGATACTTGGAAGAGTAATCCCCTCCGACCTTGAAACTGTGAGAAACAACTCTAAAATGCTGAAAGCAAAGGAAGGCGTTTGGTGTGATGCTCTTTCGTCCCTTGAAGCTGGTTGAGACGGATAAGCAGAGAAAAAGGCACAAGGCCACCACATCCTAACCCTATGGTTTCAGCAGCGGCTACATCTCTCTTCACCCCCGCACATCAAGAGTACTATTGTGTAACACCAAACCATGAATATACTTTAGTAAATCCACCCATTGAAAGAACTAGGAAATACAATCTATAGAAAACAATTTATTAATTAAACATATATTGAAATTCGTATAGTAGTATAAGCTAGTAATATATCAAAATTAATATGGAATTTAGTATTTGCTTTTGTCCTTCAGTTTTACGAGTCAGCTAAACGCAAATTCATTATACATTTAAGTTCATTTAATGTTAAAACTCTTTATTCTTAGACACACACACATTATTCTTTCAAATGGTTATTTGAACGAGATCCTAATTAATGCAATACCCCTTCATTTTTTCTGAAATTTGATTAATTTTCTCTGAACACTGTAAAAGTTTGTTGTGTGAGTAAATTCCTTAATTATTAGAACTTAAACATAACGAAGTGCATAATAGGACCATCATTATTTTATTTCTAAAGTAGGACTCATTCACTCCTAATTGTGGAAGCTTTATACATTTAATATGAACAAATAAGACCTATTTTGAAAATGAAACATAATTACTCCTACATGTGCACTTTATATTTTAGTCTTATTGGAAGCAATTTCAATTCTACTGTTTTACTTTCGTTCTTTCACAAATTGCCTTAATTCGACCGGGAAAGCTTTTTCCTAACAGTAAACATAAATATAGAGTTAATTACGTATGAAAATTGAATTGAATTTAGATTATATTAATTAAGATCAAATCGAGCTCAAAAAGTAGTTGAAATTAATTTTACATTTGAGCGACACTACCGGGGGCATGCCCTAAGTGTTACACTAGTATACATAGTATATTAATGACTAAAGTTGTGTGCGGGAAACGTTAAAATTGAAGCGGGGTTGTAGCCAATAGAGAAGGGCAACAACTGATAATTTAATTCATATGCTCTACCTAGTATGTACGTACTCTCACACTGATGACACTCCTCCATCCATCACTATAGTTTGTTCATTATTGTGTGTTCTTGATGAGGTAAACATGGAGCATACATGGCGTGGTGACCGTACAACTGAACTGGAAAATGGCTGCGTGAAAGGCCTTTTCCCGGGAAGCTGCTGCAGAGAAATTCGACAAACTGGGCATGTAGAGTTTTGTCGAAACCATAAATCTATACACGCTGTGTGGAAATAATGTGCACATGATGGCAATATGCATAAGTTATCTTCGCTTTGGTAATCCTCTAGGCAAATTGTACATCTACAATTAATACAATACAATATAATTAGTGAATTTATAGTCCGTTGGGGGTAAAGTAAGCTTAATTACACTTAACTAATTTGGTATTTCATTTTTTATGAGGTGGACATTTGTTTCTTTACATTTAATATATCGGTTTCACGTTGTTTATTTACTACTTCCTCCATCCTGAAATTAAGTTTTATCTTTCTTTTCCGGGCTGTCCCAAAATAAAATTCCTACTTCTATAACTTTCTATATTTGGTAAGTTTTTTAATTATCTATTTACTCTTTTATCCTCACATCCCATCTACCCCTTACCCACCTTATAAGCCCTGCCACCCGACCCTCATTTGTATTCGTATTTCGTACCTCTCTCTACTGTCGGTGTCTCTCTCTCGCCCCCTTTGTTTGCAACCCTTTGTTCCTCTGCCTCCACCCTCCTTCTCCGTTTTTACCACTCAGAAACCCCTCCACCGCTACCCCCCTGAACCTCCCCCATCGCTACACATCGCAAAGCCCTCCACCATTACAACTCTGAGAAAGCCCTTCATACCTAAAACCCATTTTCTTCTACTTATATATGTCCTTCAACTCCGTCCATCGGCCTTCACCGTTGCCCCTCTGCGTGGATCCATTACACCCTTTATCGTCTCTACCTCTACATGGAGTAGATGAAATCTCATCTCTAGAACCAGATCTGAAAGTTTCCTTCCCTATTTCAGATGCACATAACCCACTTCCACTAAAACTATACATAATGTGTTTTAGAAGTTCGGTTTCATGTGAAAGTGATCTGAACTAGTGCATCAGGAAGAAATATGGTTCTAACTTGTTTTTGATACCTACGATACATTAGATGGTTTGGACGAAGAAGAAGGCACAAAGGTGACTCGGTAGCGGTGGTGGGTGAACCACCGAACGGCTTGCGCATGGGCTCTAACAAAGAGGAAGGCAACATGGGGATGGAGGAAGAGGAAGGGAACAACGGGCTCGAAGAAGAAGGAAGCAACAAGCTTGAAGAAGAGGAAGGCAACAAAGGGCTGGATGAAGATGAATATGAAGACAACGATGGGAAACAATAGTAGCCACCTTGAACCCCTTTTAAATCGATTGCACTGTTTTTGTGTGCATTGTATATGATCCCTGATATTATTCTTGATGTGTACACATGTGTTGTTGTATTGTGAAATGTGCAGGGATGATCAGATGAACCCCATTTCTAACTGATGATATTTGGGGCCTTATTGTGTTGATTTCTGTTGGACATTTTTATTTTTTAATAGTCTGTGTGGATTCTAATTTGCATTTGACTTTCATAAATTTCCAATAAACACCACTTTCTTACATTTGGACTTAAATTAAACTGATATACACTATGTTAGCCAATAAATATTGTCACTGTACTGCTTGCCAAATACAAGTGCATTCAAAAAGTGCATTATAAAGTACTACAAAACATATGTGCAATATTAACAAAACATAAATTTGTCTTCACTGCAATCCAAAAGTTCATATGTGAAAATGTGGTACAGACGTGGTAATTGCTACATGTGCCCTTGTTGTCTCCTACACATGTGGAGATATTTGCTCATTATTGGGTAATAGCTCATGCCTCTATAATTTGTCCTTAGTAATATGCTTCAATTTTAAATTGTTTCCACCATTATGTGTAAGGACTTGTACCATTACACACTGATAGCTTAAGAATACCTTGTTTAGTGTAATTGGTGTCAGGCCTGTAAATGACGTGGTCACTGCATGTATTAACTCTCTAATGGTTTTGGGGGGCTTATGATCTTTAATGGCATCTATTGCCCTAAAAAACTTAAGTCGAGTATATGGAGGTATTGGCCCATTATAGGCCTTGATAGCTCTCTCCCTTATGTTGGCCCTACTTGCTACTTCCATTTGTCCGGCCCATCCCTTTGTCTCACTTGTGTTGTTCCGGAATCCTCTTTAGGGCTTCCCCTAGTCCCTTGGTACTTAAGCTCCTCTTCGTCTCTTTATGAGACTTGAGGTCTTCACTCCGTTGTGCTTAGTAAGAGAGGTGATAGAGAGAGTGTGTGTGTGTGAGAGAGAGAGAGAGAGTGAGAGAGAGACTCTCTGAACAATTCTCTTCTCCGGTCCCTTTCGTATTTACTCCTCCCCTTTTCTTATGTTCTCACTTTGTGGTGTGCGTTGAGATGGTTGGCCTGGCCTGGGTGCGAATATCCCGTCCCATCCGGTGCTTGGTGATGCTTTGTGTGAACTGTAGAGTGTGGTTTGAGATGGAGATGTGAAAACCTGACAGTGGTATAATATCAGAGCCGGATCTCCATGTCATCCACGTCTGCAGCCCGAGAGCTCCTCCGCCACCCTCTGACGGGAAGACCTCTGCTGTTTGGTAAGTCGAGATACCCCTCCTCGGGTTCTTGCTCAGGTAAATTGGCTAAAACAACCTAGGTCGCCGAGTGCCTCCGGTTTTGTATGTGAATCTGCTTTTACTCGTTTTCCCTTTTCCCACGCGTTGCTTGTGTTGCTGACCTGCTTGGTCTGGCCATCAACTACGCCTGATGAATCCTAAGTGCCTTCTCTTGACTCCTTTGTGTGGATGTGTGATTGCATATGTGATTTGGTCTTTGCATGTTCTAGATCTGTTGTGCCTTCTGGTTTTATGTATCTGTTGGCTTGCGGTTTTAAACTTGTACTTGTTGGTTCTTTGTACCTTCTGTGTTTAATTGTCGGGATCTTTTTCTATTGTTGTCTAGTAGCCTTATGATCTGGGTAATTTACTGGTACTGCTCGGCACTTGAGGTTAGGACTAGCAGGTACCCTGCCAGCCACCTCAGTGGCCTTTGGAACTGTGTGTTCAGCTAGCCCGTTATCGGGTGCTCTGGTAAACCCTGATTCATTGGTTCTCATCTTTCTGCGTGTTCTGTTGTTCTGTTCTACTGGTTATCTCTATTCTCCCTGTTGTGTTCTCTCCTTATTTGCTATCATGTCTGTCAACGTGTATGAAATGCTCCCTTTTAATGGAAAAACTATTTTGATATTTGGAAACAAAAGATTAAGTGGGCTTTAATCCAGTAAAAGGTTTTTAGAGTTGTAAGTGAACTTTACTTGGATTCTGATGATAGTGCTAAAAATATGAAATGAATGAAACTATTTGTTCTACTATTTACCTGAACCTGTCTGACTCTGTGTTTCGAAAGGTAGGTATAATTGATTCTGCTAAGGAATTGTGGGATAAATGGGATGATCTTTCTACTGATACTTCTTTGCCTTGTAAATTATTTTTGCTTAAAAAGTTCTTTTGATTTAGGCTTGACCTAACCAAATACATTGATGAAAACTTGGATGTGTTTTATAAACTAATTCAGAACATTAAACAAGTTGGTCATAAGCACATCGATGATTATACTCGTGTTGCACTACTTAATGCTATTACTGATTCTTATAATGATGTCAAATCTGCTACTCCCTCCGTCCCACTAAGATTCCCTATCCGCACTCGGACTATTTTTAGAAAAAATTACATATTCAGAAATTAGATTAAAAGCTTTACAAAGTGGCAAAAACCAAAATCAAATTTGATAAAAATTTGATATATAAAGTAGGAGAATAAGAGTGATTTGTGTTGATCAAGGGGAATAGTGTCTGGGACAATCTTAGCGGGACGGACAGAGTATTAATATTATAGAGATGAGATTAGTCTTGATATTGTTGTGAATGACCTTAAGAGTAAGTAACTTGACCTAAAACATGTTAGGAGTAATAATAGTCAACCTAAGGATTCTGGTGAGGCTATATTTGTGTGAGATCGATCTAAGAGTAGATCCAATAATCATAAGCATGAAGCCCAAACTAAGAATAGTAACCAAAATGGCAATAAGAGAAATAAGTGTAGAAAACGTGTTTTTTACAATTATGGTAATTCTGGACACTTTATTAAGGATTGCCCACATCTAAAGAAAGCCGAGCATGCTAGTGAAGCCATAGAGAGAGGTGAACTAGGTGAGGTTCTCATGGTCTGTGATCATGTTAATTATGTCAAAAATTCTTTGACTGAGCATGAATGGTTGATTGATTCTGGTTGCACCTATCATATGGCTCCTTTTAAGGATTTATTTTCTTAATATGAGCAATGAGATATGGGTTATGTTTCTTTGACTGATGATAAAAGATGCAATGTGCTAGGTGTAGGTGATATATGCCTTAAATTTTCTTGTGGCTCTGTGTTTACTTGCAAGAACGTAACACATGTACCGGATTTGTCTCATAACTTATTATCTATTGTAGCCTTGGAGGGTAGTGAATTAGAGGGAAAGTGGGGGAATGGGTGTATGAAAATTTTGAAAAATTCTCTTGTGTCGTTTAAAACTTAAAAGAAAGTTGCGATTTCTTTTACAAATAAAACCACTTCTCATATATGTGTATGGTATGATAGAAGTCATGATATGTTGGGGTGGAGGGAAGTGAGGCGGGATTAATGTGTTTCAACAAAAGTCTAACCTCTTTAGCTTTACCGCATCACTTTAAAGGGGTCTACTTGCATTGGAGTGCCTTTAAATTTGCTTCCCCTCAAATCATTTTTGAACTGTGAACTTGAACACATCCATGGCATAGCCCAAATCCCTCATGTTTTTTCTTTGATGATAGGGAATGTATCATTTTTTCAAGTCAAATTCTTTTGGTATTCTCCCTACATGTCCCTCCCAGTTGCTCTACACATTAATTGGTGTTTGGTTATTTAACCTCCTGTTAGTACCCAATTTTGATAGATTTTGATGATGCCACTATACTTTGCACCCGTACATTGTGTCTAAATTAAATTCAAATATTAGCATTAAAATGTGACAAAATAAATGTAAAATTTTTGGAACTAATAAAATTACACTGGAAAGTCAAAATGCAATAAGGTAAAAATTCTTTTACCTTAAAAGGATATTTAAATCCTACCAGTATAATTCTATTAGCACACAAAAATTAAATGTCACATAAACATATACATTGAATGTATATGATTGAAGACAAAACTT